CAACCCAACACAAACGTGACCTTGGATCCTTACACTCATAATTGGTCACGCTTTCACTCTCCTCTAATGTTATGTTGCAAATCATTTATTACTTTGGAACACAATATCTCTTGTCATCGCATCAATCATCACTCATCACTCATCAATCAAATCACCACAAATATTTCATTTTCATACTCACAGTCATATTCCACCCACGCACCCACCAATTCGACCATTCTGGATCTTCCAATTGCCATGGATAATTGACTGACACAACATATTTTGTTCTAGAAAATAACCGATTCTTCTTTTTTTTATTTATAATTCCATTATACCAACTCAACTATTTGCATCATCGCGTCATTGGTTGGTGAGTTGATAATTTCTGAAATTCTAGAAAGTCTTTTTTCCCCTTTGATCTTCATTAACGAAGCGTGGTTATTTTGGGGCGTTACTTTTTTAGTCACTAATCCTAATCTTACGTTAGCGTACAATTCAGGTGAAGAGAGACTCCGAGACTGTCAAAACAATTTGGGACCTCAACAGCGCGCGTCGATAGGTAAGACCTTGCCTTTCATTCCTCTCATTCCTATCCTTATGTTAGAAGGATGTCACGAGACATATTGTAGTTATTCATGCGCATGTTGATTGAATATCGTGGATGCGGTTGATAATAAAGTTGATGAAGCAATTGTTTCCCCCTTTGCTTCATTTGACCCATCAGCGCGTCGCGACTACATCGCGCTAGATTCTATCTTTGATTTCTGCGTCTGCTCCTTTATCCTACTGGATTTCAATGGATTCAAACTTAACTTTGATGATAACTAACACTTGTGCGCATCTGCAGATGGGTTGCCACTACTATCATCCACAGACATGAGCTCCTGGATGAACGACGCTGCCGTCCAAAACCACAATGGCGCAGGCTTCAATCATATGAACGAATCGAATACCGGAGGAAACATGATGGACCCATCGGGTTTTATGCCCACTTCATCATCCTTTGATCCCAATCAATTCCAGAATCAACAATTACAACAAAGAATGCAAAATGGTGGAATGCGCAATGGGTCGCCAGCCTTCAACAACCCCGTGTATCAAACCAATCCTGTTATTCCATCAAAGAGACCAAGGCCAAGGGAAGACAGTCTAGGTACATCACCCAGGCAAGCTTCGGGCATGCTACCTGGATCTCGCTCACAAACTCCACAACAAGCTGTCTATCCCAATTTTTCACCCAACAATGTCCCCCCACAACATGCGCCTCAACAGACACCATATTCGCATCTACAAAATGGATCGAGTAATGCTAGTCCGTCTCCAATCATGGCTAATCAGCTACGTCCTGGCGGTGTACCACAACGAGTTTCTACCGCTTCTCCCCATCCCTTCTCGCCTTCACAATCTGATCATGGAAGCCGAGTCGAGACACCACAAAGTAGTACATTTGCCCAGAACACTCCCTATGCACCTGCCTATGGTCAAAATTTTACTCCCCCACCAGGACGAACTTCGGCACCACCGCAAAGTGCGATGTCGACGCCACAAATGCCACCTGCTATGTCACAACCTCAAATGTATAATCAACAGGCCCAACCACCAAATCACCAACCGCAACAAAAGAACACTTCTTTGGACCAAACCAGGCAAATGTATCAGATGCGACTGCAACAATCACTTCAGCAGCAGCAACAACAACAGCAACAGCATCAACAACAGAGCAATCTACATGCTGCGCAACGACAGAACATGTCGCCCGGTGTAAATCCATTGTCTCAAGGGCAGATGATGCAAGCACCAAACGGTCAATTTGCTGGTATGCGACCTCAGCAAGCTTCGATGGCCCAAAATCAAAATCAGAACAATTTTCTCAAAAGCTTGGCTGCTTTCATGCTGTCAAAGGGTCTGCCTTTAGAGACGAATCCATTTGTAGGTGATAGACATATCAATATTTATGTTTTGTATGCGGCAGTTACCAAATATGGAGGATACAGGAATGTGACGGCCCAAAATGCATGGGGACAAATTGCGCAAGCCATTCAAATACATCCTTTGAGATATCAAAACGTGCCTCCGCAACTCAAGGCTCTATATGAGAGAAATCTTCTTGCGTTCGAGGAGGCTTTTCAATCCAATATGCAAAGGCAGAGAGCAGCCGCAATGAAGCAGGGCGGTGCTATCGGCGTACCCCAAATGTCGCCCACCAAACAAATGCCTCCATCGAACTCTATGCAAGCATCACATTACATGCAACAGCAGATCGCCCAACAGCAGCATCTCCAGCAGCAACAAACTACCCCCATGAAGCAAATGACACCTCTACATCATCCTCAACAACCTGTCATGAATGGTTTCTCAACCCCACAAGCCCCGCCAGTACATCCTTTAGGATCTCAAAGCCATGCTCGGAACAGTCTCTCGAGGAGTGTCGAGGCCACCCCGCCGCAAAATACCGGCATTTACCCAATACCGTCTCCAGCCTCAATACCCAAGTCTGGCAGTATATCATTGGCATCACCTCATCCTAACATGGTGCCGTCATTAGATGAGCCAAATCAAGATGAGCTAATGAACGTAGTCCTTCCTGAGAAGTTGAAGGTCTTTTCGCGGATTCCTGATGAAAATGGGGGCGCCCTCGATTTGGAGGTTCTCCGTGGCGAGGGGACTTCCTTGTTGAAATTAAAGCCAGATTTTCCACCATTGACTGAAATTGGTACCATCGACGTCCATGCCTTGACCATGAGCCTTCAATCCGGACTACATGCCGAAGTACGTTTGGCTTTAGATACTCTGGCCTTGGTGTCCTCCGAACAACGGCTACCAATAGAGTTGATGAAATGTGATGATTTGGTTGAGACACTGGTGGATTGCGCCGAGGATCAGGTTGAACTTTTAGCCGAAAACGCGGCAGAGGTATCGGATATGATGCTCATAAATTCATATGAAGATGTCGTTCGCGCCTGCCAGGCTGAGAAGCATGCCGTACAAGATATTCCACCTTTTGGATCGGAGGAATATCAGGTCGACCGAGCAGTCGAGAAGCTGATTTGCATTACTAGTATCTTGCGCAACCTCTCATTTCACGAACCAAATCTTTTGTTCCTTGCAGAAGAGGTTGTTATTAAATTCTTCTGCGTGGTAATACGGTATCTGGGAACTCGAAATATGCTACTTAGGACCAACCAGAACACGCTTGAATTTATGAAAGACGGTGTTATATTACTATCAAACATTGCACATGAGATCAAGTTACCTGGTCGCGAACAAGCGTTATGTTTATTGCATTTCCTATTAGCATTTGCGCCCTGCCCGCCCCCAAACGTAATGGGATCCGACAAAATCACATTTTCGCAGTACGACCCAACTATTCATTATTATATCTATCCTGCCGTTGATAGTCTTGCCAAGCTTCTTGCGCGGGATGAACCAAACCGAACCCATTACAAAACGATCTTTGCCTCTGACGTGTCTTCGTCTCCACCTTTTGACCTTCTGACAAGAACATTCGCTCTGTCTATCTCGGTGATACCTGATCAGCAAAAAGATCCTAAACGGGGAACCTTCCTACCTCTGGTTGAAGCCCGAAAGCCAATGTTGATGCAAGGCATACTTGCTGCGGAGCTTCTGGCAAACCTTGCACCAGGATACGACAGTGGCATTGCAAAAGCTTGGTTGACTTCAGAGGATGGGTTTGCAAAGAATCTTTCACACCTTGTATTAACATTATGTCACGAAGCTCCACAAGGTCCATCGCATGGCAGAGTTTCTGCCGTACCTAAAACGGCAGAGGAAGAGGCAATGTTACAAATAGTTCTTGGTGGAATTGGAATATTACGCCGACTGGCTGAAAAGGCACGAGACCCCGAAGATCCGACCTCTATGATACCCATACCTGGAATGCCAACGACGGAACGAATAATAAAACTACATGAACGCAAACAGCCTAGGCTGAAAGAGGCATTGCGACAATTGTGCACTTTTACAAGTCTTGGCTAATGAGTGGTTGGGTTTTCATATATGTATTAAGGTTCATAGACGCATGAATTAATAGCGTATGGAGTCGGCGTTTGTAATTTGATATATCTGCATGCCAAGCGTGGCATTTTCTTGATGTCTGTGATTCTTGTGGTATGGCTGGTATTGGTTTGTGTACAAGGGGTGATGGGTTCTCTTGAAAAGTAAGAGTGTATTGTACATATAGGCATTGAGTGTGTAGAATGATAATCAAAGCAAAATATTGCTTTTGAAACAACTAAACCCGTATAAATTCTTTCTCGTCCATGAATGTGTTGCAAGTCTCCCACTAAAAATGTCGCTCCTTGAGGAACTCCTTTACTTCCAGTTTGCACCACCCCTGTGATATGGTCAGTAAACTCATGGACTAAACCTCCATAAGGACTACACAACATACCTTGATTATGATATGCTTCGCCAATTGATTGACCCGAATCTCCTTGTCGGTGAATGCCTCTTCTAATTGCTCCTTCAACTTCATGATATCTCCTTCAATCTTTCTAATTTTTGTCTGCCTCAAGTTACCACCTGCTTTGGAAAGTGCATATACTGGCAGTTGTTTGGACGGCGTTCGAGATACATAGTACGGTTGATTCGGGGCTGTCGCAGGTGTAGTTTGTGAGGGAATTGGCGTCGAGGTTGAAATTGCTTCCTTTCTTGGGCTCGAGGAAGAGGGGTTCGTAGATAGTCTAGCAACACCAAGGAAATATCGTAAAGTGGTTGGTCTAGGCAAAGCCATAGGTCTAAGGAACTGTAGTGACATCGTAAGGGATATGAGGTTGTGGAAAGATTGATTTTTTGATCAATTATCTTCCCCAAACTTCATTCGAACGTCGCGAACTTCTCAAAGACAAAAAAAGACGCTAATAATTTAAGCTACCCTCCACTAGCGCAAAATTTTGTAGGCGGGCGCACACAATCATCAAATTCCGACATCTTTATCCTGCGAAAGCGTGAACCCCACCACTATTTCCAACTCACGACAGCACAATAGGATCGCAATCATGGCGGACAATACTCCCACGACTGCGAATGACCTTCTTAATGATGCTGCTCAAGCAGCGGCCAAGAGCCCCGAGGAAATCGCCAAAGAGAACGATCTCCTTCCCAAACTCATCACCCACCTCGACAGACATTTAATCTTCCCTTTGCTACAGTTTGTCGGTGACCAAGATGACGAGCCATCGCCAGAAATCACAAAGGCAAAATTCGAATTGTTGAAGAAGACCAACATGACAGATTATGTTGCCAGTCTCCACTGCGAAATCGAGGGTGTGGACGAAGCACCAAAGGAATACGCGAATAAGAGACAAGAAATTCTTCAAAGATTAGAAATTTTCGGACAAGAGAGCGAAAAAATCACAGATCTGTTAGGCAGAGAGGATGTTGTTACTGGACTGAGAAGCGACAAGGTTGCTAACTTGGAGTTCTTGAAGAAGGAGCATGATGTACGTATGGGAATTTTGTGTCACTGAAAATTTAACCTAACAAAGAAACAGGTCACAATTGAGATGGTTAACGTCTTATACGACTTTGGTAACTTCCAATACAGCTGTGGAAACTACGGAGCGGCTGCCGAACTCCTTTACCAATTCAGAGTCCTCTCTACCGACGATGACAAAGTCACTGCAGCAACATGGGGTAAATTGGCTTGTGAGATCTTGACTGGAAACTGGGAATCCGCTATGGAGGAAGTCCAAAAAGTGAAGGAATCGATCGAGACCAAACTCTTCAACAAACCTCTCGCACAACTTCATCACCGCACCTGGCTCATCCACTGGGCTTTGTTCCCATTCTTCAACCACGAACCCGCTCGTGATGTTATCTGCGACCTCTTCTTCTCCCCAGCATTCATCAACACCATTCAAACCGCCTGCCCATGGATTCTTAGATACTTGACTGCTGCAGTCATTACCAACCGTAACCGTACACGCAACACTGGTCAATATCAGAAACAACTCAAAGATATTATTCGTATTGTTAAACAAGAGAACTACGAATACTCGGACCCCGTTACCGATTTCATCAAGGCTTTATACCTTGACTTCGATTTCGAGGAAGCACAAAAGAGACTCTCCGAAGCTGAGGAAGTTCTCCGTTCCGATTTCTTCCTCGTCGCCGCCTCTGAAAACTTTGTTGAGGCCGCAAGACATTTGATCAGTGAGAGCTACTGCAAGATCCATCAAAGAATTGATATCAAGGATTTGAGTGCAAGATTGGGTTTGAACCAAGATGATGGTGAAAAATGGATTGTCAATCTCATCAGAGATACCAGAGTTGACGCCAAGATTGATTACAAGGAAGGAACAGTTGTCATGAACCACCCACCAAGCAGTGTATACCAACAAGTAATTGAGAGGACGAAGGGAGGATTCTTCAGAACACAAGTTCTGAGCGCAGCTGTTGCGAAGTAAGGCGAATCTACACTTTAGGGGATTGGAGAGAGGTTAGGAGCGTGGAAGCTGTTATCTAGGTCTCTCGTAATGGGTAGATGGGATCACGCATACTGAACGATATGTATATGGTCGGTCTGTTACGATCTGGTCTGGTCTGCATGGCTTTAAGCTGGCTGGCGTTTGGATTGGGGAAAATAAATAGCAAAAATGGAATGAGAACGAAATGATATAGTAGATTTCAGTCTTAGCTGTGCCCTATTGACAATCGAAATGTATGGGGATGATGAACGCAAGACATGCTGGAAATAGAAGCATATGGGGGAGCTGAACAGATGTATTGAAAGCAAATGATTATATGAACTCGTTGCTTGCACGAATAAATCAAATTTCTGGATCTATGATTTGCTTAACGAACTGTCTGCTGAATTGGACCGCCTCCTTGATATATTCCGTCTCTCTTTTGCACATTGCATTTGCATACTTTCCTACTTCAGCAACTGGATAGGTCAAACGAGTATAACCTTAAGTTATAGAGGTAGTCCTCATACTTCTGTTTCATTCTTGGTATTAGTAGACGTGCACCAATTTTTATGTTTGGACAGTCTGCTTTTGAATTCAAGGGGATGAGTTGGTGGATAGATACTGGATGAGCCATGCCCCTCTCTCTCTCGTTTGATCAAGTAGGTGGCAGTTTGTGTGGTTGGTGATACTGGCAAAATACACAATGCATGCTAGATTCTAGATGATGAACCGAAATAGAACAAAGCAGTGCAAAGGATTTCGATTTTTTTGGAATTATTTTAAGTTTTCTTGTTCTGCTGAATAAAGATACTTGTCTTTTCCATTCACTACAATCCTATTGTGAAGCTTTCTTTATCTCCTAACAAGGGAGAATTGAGTACAATGAGATTGACAGAACAATGCCCTTCGTCCTTTAAAATGCCTCTTGTGCCGCGACATGTTTTCTTCCTTTCCATTTTACGAAAACATTCTAAGTTACACATCTCATCTTCTATCTGCCTTTACGTTTATATTCACAGTCGATCATATATTATCTACACTAAATAATTCTCGAGACACATACATCAACATCCATCAAACCCACACTCTGAACTTCACAAAGCGAATCAACCATCACCCACCCAACCATGCCCAAACAAACTCGCACCCCGGGACAACCCCTCCAAGAACGTCCGCACCTAGACTCCCACGTCCAACAAACCCTCAACCGAGCCCTCTTCCGCGAACCCACGCTCGCTCGTCGCCAAAAACAAGCACAGCTGCAACGCAGAGGAACCCTCGCACAGAGAGCCGTTCAAAGACCCCATGTAAGTATCTTCACCGAATCCGATTCTGACATCTTTCCTTTAGTGCATACTCCTTCCTTTACCGTTTCGCCCGAAGATGCATTTGCTGTTCGTGGGAGCGGGGTTGGTTCGCCCGTTTCGCCTTTGACTCCTGAGGCTCTGTCTCAGGAACAAACTCAAGAGCAAGCTCAAGAACAAGCTCAAGAACAAGCAAAATACACCCTCGAAATCGAACCCGCGACACCAGCCTCAGAACTCGAGCCCCGTGGTGCATCGATGTATACGCATTGGTATTTTGATCATCAGGCGGCGAATCACTATGATGAGAAACATGTGAGTATGAGTGATAGGTCTGCGTTTACGATGATGAGTGGAGGGTTGGAGAGGAGGAGGAGGGGAGTGAGGATGAGTGTTAAGAGGGTGAGGACGTGGATTCGGGAGAAAGCGGAGAAGAAGGAGAGAGAAAGGGGAGAGAGGAGACGGGAGAAGAAAGGGGAGTTGGTGGTTAAAGAGAGGGTTTTGGGGTGTGAGGAGAAGGAGGGATGTGAGGGGAAGGGGATGAGAGGAAAGTTGGGCGCGGTGATGAAGAGGGGGACGGATAGGTTAAGGAAATTGGTGCCTGGGAAAAAGAAGGAGAAGAAAGAGGAGTGGAGAGTTTTGGATAGGATTACGGGGTTTCAGACTATTGAGTAAGTAGGGTGAGTACTCTAGGTAGGTCTTTGATTTCTCTTTCGTTCTTTCTTTTCTTCTCTCATTTTTGCATTGCCTCATTCTTTGCGGGATATTAATTTGTTTGTTTTGAAGTCATATATATATAATACACTATACGCATAATTGAGAGAATATTTCTACTCCTAATTTGTGACCCACTGATGTGCTGTGATGAGTGAGATGTTACTTTGATTTCTGTCAGGAGTAAGTATTGGTGAAATCATTTACCACATCTAGTACAAACCCTATTTATAAACAACTGTATGTTCCAGACGAATGGTACCAAAACGAAGCGAGTGCCGATATAGGGAAACTAATCTAGCTAAAAGATATAGATGGTCTGATCAGTACCATACAATACACAGGCCAGAAATTCTCTCAAAAACAATCCTCTTTCTCCATCATCACACACGTCAATCATGCATCACCAACTCACACCGAACCAAAAGTCGAATATAAACCCAACATCACGAATCTACTATTTGTCGCCCTCCAAGAAATATCGACGACGAATATCCCCCGCCGAAAAAGCAAAAAGAACATACAACAGTGGGGATTCGCTGGTGGTCACCCACCCAACTACTAATCCACCGATCTGAAGCTTGTGTATGGCAGAGCGGACGGGATGCCCAATTCTCTTCAGTCTATGGTCGTATGTGTTAGAAGATTGCTGAATTGGATATATATTGGGGTGTGTTAATTCATCCTGGTCTCAAAAGCGAGGGGTTGCACACACGAGATTAGGTTTGGCTTGATCTTACCCTCACTCAGTCTGGGTATTGCACTTGGAGTGTCTGCTTTGGTCTTGGGCTTGATTGTAAGGTATGTAGATATTGTTATTCAGATAGAACTAACTGTTGCTTTGTGAAGGGATAGTAGATAGTGAATGTCGTGAATGAAAAAAACCCGCAGGTGCACTAGCTAATTCTCACTTCCGTCGCAAAGGGTATGGATTCCTCATCACCATCCTATGACCCTCATCCATATGATGATATGATTCCGCAAACTCAAAGAGTTTACCGGCCAAACAAGCTTCGTGAAGTTCTAGCGGATTTGCCTCTCTCAGAAGTCTCTTGTAAATCTCCAACAGAATGCAGGTTTCCTCAAAAGTCTGGCAATTCATGAACCCATAATCCACTTGTAGTGTTGCATTTGGTGGAAACTCGGCGAGATCGTTAATGGCTACGCACTGTTTCAAAGACCAGACTGAAGGTTGTGGTCCGGAGGGTGATTCCGATAGAAACCGTTCCAGGAACTTGAATTCTAATCGCATTTTTGTCAGACCTTTGGAGTCTATGAGTTCGATTAATGTACCAGACTCGTACGCATGCCAGAACTCTGCAAAGGTAGCTGTTGGCGGCGCCGGACCATAGAACAAGTGTTGAGTATTGCCTCGAAGGTCCTCAAGAAGTTCATTCCCGAGTAGTAATCGTGCATAGAGCACTCCAAGCGCGTTTTCCTCTCGCTCGCCATTGCAAGTGCAAAAGCCAAAGTTGTACCAGTTCGTTTGGATAGGATTTGGATGTATCATATGAAGAGCCATAGCTAGAAGTTCATAGCATTGCATCTTGGCCTCGGGTTTTAGTTGACTTGGCTGTTTATGCTGGTCTTCTTTGTCCAAACAAACTCGGGCTTGGTCGTAAAATGTGGCTAGCAGATTCTGAGTTGACTCCTCTTGAGTTAATGGTTTCTCTAAAATATGTAGATTGTCCAGAAACCACGGAAAATACCCCCCTCGGTTAGCTTCGCTGATTTGATAGAAGTGCTTTTTGATGTTGGCAATAAGGGTACTCTCAACTTGCCATCTGTGAATGTCTTCGACTGGGACACCGCCGAGCCACAACCCCTTATAAAGCCCCAAAAGGTTAGATCGATCGGCAAATGACGACAGATGATTGAAACCAAAATCCTCAAGCACTTCCTCCTCATCAGGAATGGTATCCTCAGATATATTTCTATATAGATAATCAGCCGAGGTGAGCGGTCGCTTGGCACACGTGAACACATGCGACCCGTGTGTCCTGGTTTCGCATGATTCACTGCAATAGAAATCTATATTACAGATACTGCACAGTCGCGATGTCGCGATGTCACAGGTGCTGCATTCACCAAGTTCTTCTGACTCTACCAATGTGCCGTCTGACAGATTTCCCCAGGTAGGCTTCGGGGAAGCGGCATCACTCTTTCCTACCGATAATCTGTCCGGGTCTCAGCTCTTGCATAACAGTTTCAACAAATGAAAGATTATATCTCGATCCTTCTTACCTATTGAATAGCCCAGCAACTCTTTCTTGCTCCATTTTCTTTTTTCTTCGCTCTATTACCAGGTGCTTACCTGAATTTTCAGCCTTGGGGTCACTGAATATGCTGCTTCCACCAACAACAGACGTTTTTTCAAGTCGTACTGCTTTGTCGAAGTCTGACTTCAATTCTTTCTCAATGTCCTTTTGCACTTGTATCACTGATTTGGCTACTTTATCCGCCTGGTTAGAAGCTAGTCCTGTTACCTCGGGTACCGTCCAGGGTTTGAATAGTCGTCCATGGCAACCTCTTGTACCAATTTTGCCATATGCTTTAAGGAAACGCGAGCACATGAAACAGCTATACTTGCTGCAACCAAAATAGGCGAATGATTGATCCAATAACCGCTCATTCTTACTCAAGAACAGAATCATTTGAATCTCAGCATGTATGTTAAGTGCCTGCTTTTGCAACTTCCCGTACTCCCGCTCAGCTTTGGCAACAGTCCAGCTTGGCCCGATCACAGTTTCAACTGTCAAGGTGTCGGTCGGTTGATCAAGGAGATTCAAGGTCTCTCTTAGCTTGAGTGCATCCTTGAGCGCCTTTTGCGGTATCCTATCACCGGTCACTGGGATTATGGTGACATTGCTGAAACTTGGGAGCTTGAGAGAAACCTCTTTGAACTTCTCAAGTATGACCCGAAGCCTACCGAGAAAACAAATATCAATCCATAGTTTTCTAGTTTGTTTCGTAGACTTCGGAGATGTTTGGAGAAGCTCCTCGACGACTTTGCTCTTTCGTAGTTCATATGCTTTTGTGACAAGCGTGCCATTTCTGTCGATCAACCTCTGACCCGCCTCTAGCCTAGCAAAGGTGTGATTTTGAAGAACCAAAAGTTCGTTACGTGCTGTAGCGAACCTGTCGTTATTGTCATCGTTTAATGTGGTGTTGCAACTCTTGAGGCTCAGTCTCAGGTTCGGAATATAAGTTTCTTCGAGACGGTCTTCATAATACGCCAACATTTCATTCCAAAGCACCTCCTCGACTATTCGGTTCGGCAAGTCTTCACAAAAAGTTAGATTTGACTCAAGGGTTGATTGGTTAACAGGTACCTTTTCCGTGGAACAAGCCACTTAGA